GTGCCCTGTTAGGGACTCTCCAATTGCTTAACAATCTGACTACAAATTCAGCCAAGTATCCTGGGCACATGTAGGGAATAAAAAAGACAAGAGAAAAATCAGATTTCATGTGGGAGGCTGTACAGATTGTCCCTAATAACTTGAGACAATTAGAGAATCAGCAAAGAGAGAGCAAAGTGGGCTGTGAACCAGTTAGTTGTTTCTTAGGGGGAAATAATAATAATGATGATGATGATGATGATGATAATAATAATAATAACAACAACAATAATAATAATAAAAATATCAATGATAATAATAATCTCTTATATTTGTTAGAGCTATTATAGTTGACAAGACACTTCTAATATTAGCCATTTAATCTTTAAATGGTCTATGGGGAAATCTAGGCCTTCAGGTCACCATTCTATTAACGAGGAAGTTGAGGCGCATAGAGGTTAAACACTTGCCCAAGGTCGCTTGTCCCTGCCTGCACTCCGGTCTTCGAATCATTTCTGTCCGTCGTTTTTCCCAAAAGGGGGTCAGAGCCATCTTGGACGCAGCCCAGCTCTCTCTCTAGGGCACATCCTCAGAAGCCTATGGCCGTCTCTCCTCTCCTCGCAGTACCCAGCACACTGCACCGCAGGGACTTGATGGACGACGGAGGAGGCTGGGCGATTAACTGAGGTGAGGGTAGGCGGAGCAAAAGGTCTTGCTCCTGGTGCACACTCCCAGGTTCCGCCTCTGCCGGTGTGTGTGCTCCGGAGCCGAGCCAACACTGGCGTCACCCTCGACTGAGTCTCTATGTCAGGAGGTAGTCATGGAAACTCACTCTCTTTCTAAGCTGATGAGGAGAGAATTAGGTAGAAAGGTGGAATCAAGTTAATTGCCTGTCATCTCCTCTCTGCTCTCTGTGTGTTGATTCAAATTAAGCTTTTTCAGTTTTCTGATGTCAGCAGGTACCATACGAACGGAGCACAGGCCTTGGGAGTCAGGATCTCCAGGAAACAGCAAGTTCTCAGCAAATCCTTTAACCATTCTGCTTCTTTGTTTAGTTCTGACCCAAGCATTCAGGAAGACAAATCTCTTCACCTGACCTCTCTTGATTTCTGACCCAAACTCTCTGAACTGCCTTAATTTTAACAATCTTTGACTCTACAGCCACTCAACTAGCCATTTCTCCTCTTGTAGAGAAATGAGCAGAGACTTCAAATCGAATTCTGCGTTTGTTAAAATTCACTGTAGCTCAGAGAGAAGTAAAGTGAGTCAATGATAAATGTTCTGCCATGTGTGTTGCCCACATGCAGGGAAGCAGAAGATCTTGAGATCTTCTGCCAGGGGTGTCACCACCAGCTCAGCTGCCACATGAGCAGAGCTGGAGGAGGTCTCCTAAGATGAGGCCCTTTCCTTCCCTGTCCTGTCCCTAGGGTCTCGTCTCTACAGCCAGATGAGGTTATTTGAGATTCCTTGCATATTCCTTGCTTGTTCTTTTCCTTAGCTTTTCAGAGGTTTTCTCTGCCTGGAACACTCTTCCTACTTTTTAATTATGTCTCAACTCTGACAATACATACCTGGGAAGCCTTCTCAAGGCTGAGTATGTAATTCCAAACACCATGAATCCCTTTATTGTAGACAACAAATGGGTCATCACTGCACCCAGGATTTCTTCCTCCTCACTGGACTACGAACTTCTCAAAGCAAGGACTATGTCTTCCTTGATCATGTTGCCCAGCACCAAGCACCATGCTTGGCACATACAAAGTAATCAATCAACATTTATTGAGTAAGAGATTGATTTAGTTAATGAGTAATGAATAGAATATTTTTTTAGGATGGTGTCCTAGAAGAAGGACATATTTACATAAGGTCTCGAGTTGAATGTTGGTTGTAATCTACTTGAGTTTCCCTACTATTTGCATTTCACCCAAATAGTACGTGGGCTGCTGTGAGATGTCTTTGGGCTCCAGACCTGGTTTGCCCCAAGAACTCTGCTCTGCTTTATTCAGGCCAACATCTCTCCTGGGATTTTTGGCCATACTGGCTCTCAATGTAGCACGCTCTGAGGTTAAGAATGCTGGTTCGTGGTGGGAAGTAGAGGTAGAGAGGACAGAATGCAGAATCCCAGGATGAAGAGGCCGAAGTGAGTGTTTGGGATTCCCCTAGGAGGCTCTTCCAGGACCAGAAGGGAATTCTGGGAAGGAGACGTTGTCTAGGGGAAAAGTGCCTCTCAGTTTAATCATGGAGGTGACGATATGACTTTCTCCTTGTTATCTGTAATGGAGTGTATAGTTTTCATGGGGCTCTCGGGGAGTGCGGTGAAGTAGAAAGAGCACTGAACTAGGATTCAGCAGATATGAGTACTTGTCTGTCATTAAGCAGCTGTGGGACAATTCTGGACCTCTGCTTCCTTTTCTGTAATTGAAGGAGAGGGTAGAATCAAATAGTCCCTCAGGTCTGTTCCATGATTCTGTAGAAGTAGACTTTGGGTGTTCCGTGTGACTGTTTCAGAAGTTGGACTTGGCAGCGGAGTGAGAGTAATGCCTTGGGCTGGGTTCTTCGGAAAGTCTAAGGTGGAGGTGGGTGGGGCAGGGTGAGGCTCTCTCAGGGATTTTTTTGTTCCATTTTTTTCTTGCCACCCCTTTACCCCTCTGGTGGGAGGTGACGTGTCATAGTGTTTAATTTATGAGCTTGGGAATCAGGCAGATGTACACTTGACTCCCAGCTGTGCCACTTACTGACTGTGTGACCTGAGGCAAATTTCTTAACCTCACCCTGCCCCAGTTTCCTCATCTGGAAAATGATTATCTTTCTAAAGTTATCATAAGGGTTGAATTTGCTATCATTCTTCCTCACAAATATATTAATACCTATGCTGTTTATACCTCTCTCTTTGAAACTCTGATTTTGACATGAAATTCTGTAAGCTTTCACCCCACTGTCCCACCCGTTTGCTGTTTATTTTGCGTGGAAAAACTTAGGTATCATGTACTTTTACTTCTTCTGATATTCAGTTGTCTCCGTCTCCAGTTCTACTTGTACATTAAACCTATTAAGCTAGATGGTACCAGGTACAAAAACTAGTGGGCAGACAGCATTGTTATAGACAGTAACTTTTAAAAATTTTGGCATTGAAAGCATTCAGGAGTAACAATAGCTGACTCACTGAGGAGTATGTATTTCCTTCTTATAAATACTTAAGGGTTAGAGGAATGGGGCAAGGGAAGCCTTGGATTCCATATAAAGTTCCTGTGCATTCTGAGATTTTAATAGCATTGCAGCAAGTGTCTATCATGCCTATGCACTAACAGGTCTTAACAGTAAATTTACTGAAGTTCAGGATGATAACATTTCATAAATTATCCACAAATTGTATCTTGATTCTGCAATCAATAAGAAATAGCTTCTGTAGGTGAAAGGCAAAAAAAATGGTAAGAATATTCAAGTTCCTTACAGATGCAATTTTGAACGACATTAGCATGTTACTTCTATTATACCTTTCATCTCAGTTGTTGGAGTGATGATGTTTAGGATCTGCACTAGGACTTTACAAAGACTGTCCCAGTGATGGCTTTGGACTGCTACTCCGCCTGCTGTCCTTTGTTCTGAGGTCCCCTGGCCGTCTTGGTGAGTCCCCACCACCTTTCAACAAGTAAATGGCCAAACACAGGAGAAGGTGGTGGGCTCCATGCGGGCAGGAGCTGTCTTATTGATTGTCATATATGCAGAGCCTGGGAGGTGAAGAGCATTTTATAGACACTTAATACTTAATGGGCTTCAGGGTCTGAAAGTAATGGATCTCTGTTAAGAAGGAGACGGAGATGCCTGAGTAGGGAAACCTTACAGTGCTATGAAAAGCATGTCTAAAGCACATCCTGAACCACAAGTTTCAACAGTGGTGCTACAGTGGGAATTGTCATTGCTTTTTCACTTCATATGCCCATCTTGCATTACTGTGGAGTTTAAACTCTGAGAGTAAGGGGATGGAATCAAAGGGGCTTCTTAGCTAGAGTTAAAATACAGTGGGAGCAAGGTTAGAAATGAAGCACAGGTCCTAATGTGGGACCATGTCTTCCTCAGGGTGACGAATTTCTCTCACCAAAGGGAGCCAATCAGATTCTATAGAAAGACAGAAGCCCTGGCCTTGCAGTTATATTTCAGGATAGAGTGAAGGAAAGGAATGACCAAAGGGAGTGAGCCCACGAAAGTACAAGGTTAGCCTGACAGTTAATTAGAAGTTTGAAGGAAGAGAGACTGGCTGTTCTGCAAGATGGTTTACTGCCTGCGTTTTCAAGGACCCCTGGCAACTGGAGAATTATGAGATCTGTTCCTTTTTCCTTCACTGCAATGAATCATGCCTCTGATGACAATCATATGTGTGTGTGTGGAATCGTGTTCTATCAGCTTCTCTCTGAATTATTGCTTATCACTCAGGGGCCCCCCAACCACTTGAAGATTGCCAGGATGACATTCAGAGTTGAGCTGGGAAGGTAAGACATTCTGTTCTGGAGGACGTGGTTGGTTACACCTGCCACTCAGGGATGTCCTGGCTCCAGGAATCTTCTCGCTGCCACATGCCAGAGGACATCGCATAGTCGTTCTGAGCAGGCCCTGGCAGTGGCCCAGTGGCCTGGCAGCTAGAGGTGGGCACAGGGAGTGTTTTTTCCTCTCCTTCTTCAGCAAGACAGGATCTTGAGGAAGGCTTTGCGGAACTCGACATTGAAGGTGGTATAGATCACGGGGTTGAGGGCGCTGTTCACGTAGCCCAGCCACGTTGTGGCACTGTAAAGCTCCGGGGACACGTGGCATGCTTGGCAGTGGGTATTGAGAACGTGGGTCAAGAAGAAAGGCAGCCAACAGACAATGAAGGTCCCTATGTTGCGAAGGACAAGAAAAACTGGGTAAGGGGTTTGCTTACTCCCTCTGTTGTAACATAAAAATGAGTCACAGCTGTCTACCTTGTGGCAGCCACTATGCTGGAAGTTTTAATACCCTTTTAATTTTCACACCAACTCTATGAAGTAGGTGTGATTAGTAACTTTTTTTTTTGGATGAGAAAACTACATGCTAACGTCTTTGACTCTTCCCAGGCCTTTGCTCCTAAATCAATTTTCTAGTTTGATCTCTAGATAGTTCTTTACTAGTTTTTTTCTACTTCTCAATTCAATTCAAATATTTATTTAATGTCTGTCCATACATGACATAAGCCTAGGCACTCACAGGATAGAGAAGAAGACCTTAAAGGCACAATTGACACAGTTAAGTCTGCTGAGATTAACATAGGGGCTCCCTAGATATGAGAAGTCCCTGAGATAGGAGAAGTTTGCAGCTCTTCAGTGACAATAAGCAATGACAATGAAAGTTAGTGAACTGCCTTCACTAACTCCATGGTACCTGTGACCTTCCAATTTTTCATTTCTTTATTTAAATAAAGTTGATATTTTTCTACTATAAAAACTAGCACTGATTTTATACATTATGGAAGACTTGGTAAATATGGAAAAATAGAGAAAAGCAAAATAATCACCCACCACCCAAAGACAATCAATCACTTTGACATCTTAGTGAATTAATTTTCAGTATTTTTTCCTCTGTATTTAAAATAATCTCGATGTTATAATGCCATATGACAGTAGTTTTTTGCATCTCTGTTTTTTCACTTTATATTTGAAAATAGGTAAGCATTTAGTAAATATCCAATGTGTACCAGACACTTCTATTGAATCATTATTTATTGTTTGATTTATTCATTATAATTCCAAGTGATACACAAAATCTACAGCTCAATTAGGTGATATGTTTGGTTTCATAAATTTCAGTTTAGGTCTTTTGAGTTTCCATCAGAGTTAACATTTACACACAAACTCCTTTCATTTATATTATAAACATTTATCAATAAGTACAATCATTGGATTTCCAATTTCTGTCAAAAATGGTTACCTTAGTATCCTCTGCCAGCTCCACTAAACTCAGTCTAACCCATCAAAATCCAACCCATCCAACTTAACCTGACTCAAACTCACCGAGTACGATGACCAGCATCTGGGTGGCCTTCTTCTCCCGAAGTGGCATTCCCCGAGGTTGCAAGGGCCCCAGCTTCAAGGATGTGACAACCTGCCGTTACTGAGTTTTCGAACCTCTAAGCTGAGCTTGGGTGTCATGGTGGGGCTGAGGGAGTTCCGAGTCCTCCCCTCCCTTTTCAACTCTCCTTCCCCTTCTTGGAAGCCTGGTCTCCCCAAGGCAGTATCTTGGCAGATGCTGTAGTAGCGTTTCAGCTCCATGTGTGTCTGGCCAGGGGAGAGGGGCTGCAGGTGTAACAAGAGAGAGTCCTGACATTTCTGGGGATATTGTTTATCTTCTGACTGTTCCTGAAAGGGAAACAGAATACAAAGAAGGAAGAAAACAACATTATTGTGTGAAACCTACCGACGGTACATCTGAGAGTGGTGGGCTCGTGGGAAGTTAAGGTGAAAAAAATCTGCTTCTGTCTTTACAGCTAAAAAGTATCTACCACATATAGAACATTTGAGAATCACAACAATCCCTTGAGGAGGGTAGCACAGAATTACAGCCTGGCCTTTTTGAGTTGGAATGACCTGGGTAGACAGAGGAACATATTAAATGACACCCCTGGGATATAAACAGAAAAATCTGAATGTGGAAAACTACAAAACAAATTACTCAGTTTCTTCAACAAGTGAGTTGCAATGACAACACCACCACATTTACCAGGTGCAGAGTGTGGGTCCTTTTTAAATTTGGTTCAAATAAACCAACTATAAAAAATTTACAAGACATTGGGGAAATCTGAACATTGGATATTCAGTGATACTAGGAAATTGTTAATATTTTTGTGTGTGTGTGTGATGTCTTGTGATTAAGTGTATTTATAAAAGAGCCTATATTCTTTAGAGGGTTTCACAGAAATATTTTTGGTTGAAATGTTATGTTTGAGATCTGTTTTATAACAATCCAGTAGGGGTGTGTGACGTAGGTGGGAGTGTCAGTTGAAGTAAGATGGGCCATGAGTTGACAATTGCTGAAGCTGGCTGATGGCTATTGAAGGATTAGTTATATTTATCTTTCTACTTTTTTATTTTTGAAATTTTCAATAATAAAAAATATAAAAAAATAGGATTTTGGTCTCAGCTTCCTACTTAGTGGACACATCCTTGGGGGAAGTTTAATTAACTTTCAATTAACAGAGACATTTAATTAATGTCCCTGAGCCTCATTTGTAAAACAAAAAAGAAATGAAAGTAAATGGGTTGGGATGAGTAGACAGAGTAGAAAACTGAAGACATGCGGCTGTTTCCGGTGTTTTGGGAGGATGCATGTGTGCTCAGCCTCTGAACTTCATCCCGTGTTTGAAGAGTCAGATGCTGTGTCAGTCTTGGGTAGAAGGTAGGATTCCCCAGCACCCTTACTGAAGCCACCAAAGCCAGATACTCGCTCTCTGCAACCTCCCCACCGGGCAGCTAGAACTCTGGTACGTGAACCAAGCCCAGCCAGTCGGAAACTCGCACCTACGACCGTGAACTGGAGCACAGCAAGCAGGGAGACTTCAGAATTCACTTGGCAGTGGTGACAGTCAGTGTCCAGCGTCCCAGGTATTCTACGCAGAGTCTTCCCTAGGTGTGAACAGCATCTTCTGAAGCTGTCCTTCAGCCTTCCCACTGAGTCTGAGCGCCTTGATATCCTCCCAGTAAATTCCCTTTTTGCATAAGTTAGTCAGTGTCAGCAACCAAAACCCTCATTAGTCTCTCTTTAGTTCAAGGAATCATAGTCTTCCAGTTACAGAGGGCCAAGTACACAGTATACACTCAGAAATATGGTTGAATAAGTGAATGAATAAATGAATGCAAGTGGCCTTCAAGATGATTTAATGTTTTAAAAACTGCTCCACAGAGGTATTTGTAGGGATTTTATCATATTTTTTTTAAATTTGTTTTTCGTTTTGATGGAATTTTCTAATAACTAATATAAGTATATTGTGTTTTATCTGAATGACCATTGTAACCAAGATTATATTTATGATTGAGCATCTAGTGATCTTCTAAAAGTGACAATATTTGACTTCAAATGCATTATATCTGAAACTAAAGGACTGGGGACAGTTTTGAGAGTACTTAGGAAATCTCAGATTTGAGAACTCTGATCTAGTACAGCTTGTTCCCATTTCTCAGATTTGGAAATTCATTCCTATAGAAGGAAAGTGATTCTTTCAAAACTGTGTATTGGTGAGTGTATTTTTCGGCTCTCTCTGCAAACTTTTATCACGACCTCCATGACTGACATGAAAAACACTGGGTTCCTTTGGATCTGGCTGGCGGAGCCCTCCACTCCCAGATGGCAGGACAGAACCTAATTCTCCACACTCCGCGCAGTGCCAGCTTCTTGGTTCTCTAATCTCATTGTGGTCACCACTCTTGCTTCTTTTATCCTTGGAGCCTTCTCAGAACTTGAATTTGCCATAGGCAACTTTAAAGCTATTATTCATTAAAAAAAATCATTTACAGCAGGAATCTGTAACTGCTACATGAGGCCTGTGTAAGGGTGGTTAATTAATTATACAGAGATTAGACAAGGCTCAGACCTTCATCATTATGGGCTTTTGAAGTTTCATTCCTAATATTTACTTGGCTGTGGCGTTCAGGGAGAAGAATACTGGTCTTTTATTTAACACCTTCAGGCCCCACTCCACACATGGCTTGCTTGGGGAGGCAGGGCTGGCTTGAATTGGAAGAACAAGTCACAGATCATGAAATTGTCTTGGCTTTTCCCACACTTAGTGGCAAATAGGCACTTAAAAGTCTCCCATTAACCTCCCTTGGCTCTGCACATACCTGTTACCGTGATGCGCTCCCTGTTCCCTCTAATGCAGGTGGTTCTGGGTGGTATCTTTACAACACATACATCCAAGAGTCATTGGCTCCAATCATCGGGATCCAGCCAATAGTCATGTGCTTTCTGAATATCATTAGATAGTTCCTATTCTGAAGCTCAAATCAGATAGGATCTCAGATCTGTTATTTAGTATAGATACAACTGTGGGACTGGGGATAGATTCCATTTGAGGGTAGAAGTGAAAGTAAGTCAAGCCAATGTCTTGAGAAAAGATCTCTTAATCTTTTCCTACAATCAGAGGTATGGCTTACTTACCATTTTCCCTGTGGCATCTGATGGAAATCTGGCCCTTATTGAAAACTGCCGAATAGGGTGCAGCCGCAGACAGGAGGACTAGGGTGGGTTGAAGGGGAAACAGTTGTGGGTTAAGCTCTACGTAGTTGGGTCATTCAGATGACAATGCTTTGAATACAATATATTCATATCCTCAGTTTGGGTCCTGACCTCCTGTTTCAGGGGGACCAATATTCTTATTCTACACAAGCCTTGGGATTTGAGTTTAAGACTCTGACTCTGACTCAAGTCATCATAGGTCGATCAAGACATCCAATTTGGACCTGCCTTCAAGATCAAACTCAGTTTTTACTCTATGAAGCCTTGAACATATTGACTTCTATTATCTTATAACCTCACCAGAATTTAATATTTAGCTGCTTAATTGTCTTCATCTCACATTTGGCAAACATCCCATTCAGTTTTAGGCTGCTCATTAACCTTGGCTGGAGGTGTGTTTTGTTTGTTTGTCTAAGATTCTAAGCTGTATAATATTCCTTCTGTTTCTTTCCTAGCAAATTTCAAGTGATTGGCAATCATCCATTCATGCTTCAAGTACATCTTAAAGTGTTTGCCAGGCACGGGAACAAGCAGAATTTACAGCCCAAGCAATTGGAAGATTTCCACGACCTTCCTTTTCAGAGTCTCGAAAGATCTAATAAAATCTGTCATCAGCATCCCATCCCACCAGCTGGTTAGGGTTTTGGCACAGAGGCAGAGTAAGGGAAAGAAGTTTCAGTGGATACCCAGTGATTCTTGATATGAATGGTCTGGCCAAAAAGCCATTTCTGGGAACCCACCAGCAGTGAATGGTAAAGCTGCCACACTAAAACTTCATACCTGTGTGACATCTGAACTGCGGGCCATTTGGGGGCCATGGAAGACTTTGGAGGGAAGTAGAACAAGCCCAGAAACTATCCTATCGATTTGCCAAGTAAAGTGTGCTCTAGGGAAGACTATCAGCGCACTTCTGAGATTGGATTTCCTACTTCTAAAGCACAGCCAATGCCTGCAGATTAAAAGGTGGGTGTCAAACGTGTGTCCCCGGTGTAGCAGTGCAGGCAAGGACATGCACTGCTGGACACAGTCGGGGAGGCCTGGGGCTGGGTGCTGTCTTCCTCCTGCCCCTCCAGGGTGCTTACCTGCTGGGGGAAGCCAGGCCTGACACTGAGGCACTGACTGTTCTGTCGAGTGAGGATCCGTTTCCGTCTCCTCTGTCTCAACACCACATAGATCCTGGCATAGACGAGGACAGTCACTCCAAAGGGCAAGTAGAAGGACACCACTGATGAGTAGAGGACAAAGTCAGGGTTGGAGATGGAGCAGACGCTGGGGTCCCCTGTGAGTGAGAGAAGGGGAGAAAGCAAAGCCGTCGGCCAAGTAGGGACCTCAGCAGGGAGCACAAAACATGGTGTCTCCACCATCTAATCCACATGGAGCATTGAGAAGCACTGGGGGCTGGTCCCACCTACCCCATCTTCATGTCCCAGGTTATGTGCTGCCTCCTCCATGGAGGCTTCCTTGCTTGAGTTTCTCAGTCAGAAGCAACTCTCACTTCCTTTATGTCCCACAGCCCTTTACTTTTGTCACTTTTGTGTGTTTAAGTTGTGAGGGTGGGGGTGGGGGACAGTCTCAGACACCTACAATGTCAACTTGGTGAGGATACGAGGTCTCATTCATCATTGTGCAGCTCACAGGTCACTTAAAAAGAAAATTTACCAGTGATTATATGCCAGACACTGCTCTACACTGGGGCTGCAAAGATGAATAAGATATCGTGTCCGCCCTTGAAGGAGCTCACAGGCTAGACAGACAGATGATCCCTTCCGCATACTGTGCTAAGTGTCACAGAGGAACATGGCCTGGGGCGCTGGGTGGAGAGTCACAGAACAGCTGAGCAGAGGCTCCCTGGAGGGCCTCCCAGTAAAGGGCCTGCTGGTGTGGAGGCATCAAAGGATGGGTGAATGCAATGAAAGAAAGGAGAAAGACTTCTTTGCTGAGAATGCCAGGTCTCCGATTGTGAATCCCAATTATGGGGCAGGTGGTGGCTGAATGGAGGCAATTCTATTTTTCAGGGAATCCCAGTTATGCTCAGGGGTGCGATGGGAAAAGAGCCAGTGAACATATTGTCATCGTGGACAACGTGAATTGAGTTGTGTCCTTGTCCTTGCTTTATGTCCTGAAATGCTCCTGCCACTCTTCCTGAGGAGGTCCCTGCAGCCTTTTCTTCTGAACTCTGTATTTTACACACTAACTACTACTTTAAAAAAAAAAACAGGAGCAAAAGTAGGTATAGCATGCTCCCATCTGTGTAAAAATCGACACACACACACACTCACAGGTGTGCTGCATGAGTGTGTGTATGTACTTGTTCCAAGCACTATCTTTTAAGAATATTGGTGTTTACATCTAGGGAGGGAGACAGGGGAACTGGTAATCTACATGTAAAGATGTATATATATATCTCATTACACCTTATGTTTTATCATGTTCCAGTATTTATTTTTCCATTAAAAATATTGAAAGCATATGTCTGAAAAATGGAAAGTGAAGGGAGAACACAGAGCTATTTTGGGATCGCTGATCAAAGGAAGGCCCTCAATATACAATCACTGAACCCACGCTGTCATACCTTCCTTCCTCCCCTACATAAAAAACTGCTGCTTGTCCTTAGACTGAGTTTTGCAGCCTCTCCTGTGCATCCCATGAGGCTGGTCAGTAGGCGGAGTGACAATGGGCAGTGAGTGGGGCCCTGCCCCAACCTTCAGTGGCCTGGCCTTGGTGTGTGTCCTGGGGGCAGGGCAGAGTGAAGCACCACACATGACAATTCTGAAAGCTTCTCTCTGCTAATTCCCCAGGGAGGTGGCAAGGGTAGTGAGGCACCCAGGAGCTAGGCTTCTCCAGGAGATGAGGTGCCTGGTCCTAATTATTTAACTGAAACAGCACTGTGCTGTCAGCACCATGGTTGTTGAATGAATACATGAACGATGAATAAATGAGCCACGTGTACAGATGAGCATTTAGTTAAGCAGTCACTAGCTGATAATGGGGAAGGCCGGTAGGGGGACTCCCCATTCTCTGAAATTGGGATGTTTGTCCCAGTGAATCACAGCAGTTAAGGAGGAAAGAATGATGATGAGGACCCATCCACGTACTCATTCAACACACGCTTACAGAGTACCTGCTATATTTCAGGCACTGTGCTGGGTGGTAAAACACCAAATATGTTTTGTGGGCTAGCCTAGGAACTTGAGTCCTGCAGTGATGTGAACAGCAAGACCACAAGCAAGTTAACTTGAGAGATTCATGAACTTCTGGCTCATTGAAGGATTTGTCCTCAACTTGTTTCCAAGATAGGAGATCCTGATGAATTTGATTTTACAATAAGCCTTTTAACTTAGTGCTTCTCAACCAAGCCCCACCACACCCAGCTCCAGTGTTCTGAAAGCCAGGTGAGGCGTTCTATTGCTAAAATCTAAAAAGCCATCCTCTGTTTCCTTGTTTCCAAGGAAAATTAAGACAGTTCATAAGACTTAACTTTAAGTTTTCCTGTCCTTGAAAGTTTCTTAAACCCTCGTCACCAGCTATTGCTTATCCATTCTGGAATTTTTAATAACACAATAGCTACCTGATTTAGCAGAAATTTTTATTTTTAAATTTTTTTATTGAAGTATAGTTAATTACAATGTGTCAATTTCTGGTGTACAGCAGAATGTTTCAGTCATGCATATACATACATATATTTGTTTTCATTATTCTTTTTCATTGTAGGTATTGAATATGGTTCCCTGAGCTATACAGAAAAAAATTGTTTTATATCTATTTTACGTATAGTAGTTAGTATCTGCAAATCTTGAACTCTCATTTTATCCCTTCCTACCTCCTTTCCCCCAGTAACCATGTTTGTTTACTATGTCTGTGAGTCTGATTTAGCAGAAATTTAAATACTAGTTATTTTTCTTATCTGTGAAATGAAAGGGTCAATGACCTTTAGGGTTTCCTCTAGTATTACCACTCCATCCTCTGCTGCCATGAGGGGCTCTTGATGTGATATTTGGCTCCTGAAGGCTGGGCCTCTGCTGGGAGTGGGGGCAACACGGGTCAGCCAGACCCCAAGGCCTTGGAACTCTCAGTGACCCAAGATCCTACCTTCTGTGTGTGCGCCCAGAAAGGCATGACACTCTTTTCTTAGACAATAAGAGCGATTCCAAGTTGGAAGAAACTGAAGTTCAACTTTGCTCTGCCTCATGCTCTCTGACAATTCACAATCCCCCTGGCAGCCCATTTCATAAAAAGAAGAGCTATGCCAGGAAGTTCTGTTTTGTGTCACACTTAGTGAACATCCAGCCACTGGTGTTGTTGGCAGAATCCTGCCCTTTCCTCTTCTACTTTTCATGAAGGGAGTAGGAAAAAAAATGGCTAAGAGAAGTCATTTATATTGGGCTTTCGAATGAAGTTGGGAACTTCCTTACAGATGCAAGAGGTGCTCGAGGAACCCACATCCATCAAGATAATGAAGCTATGCTGTGAAGGTCGGACTGAGGCAGAGGAGGACTGGGCTCATGAGTCCTGCTCGCAAATTCCCTGAACTGCATTCTGGGGTGAGACTACCAGGCTCTTTTCTGACCACCAGCAGAGCAACCACTGTTTAGACTGTCCTTGGAGCAGGGGCATAGTTAAATGTGGAGGCAGAGGAAACTTTTCTTACATAATAATAACAACAATAACACTAGCTAATATCTATTGGGTTTTTTACAGTGGACCTGACGCTTTAACACAGTATATGAATAAGTGGAGAGCTTAATCTAGTTAATGCATCTAAAAGTTCTGGATTTGCAGATACTAACTACTATGCATAAAACAGATAAACAACAAGGTCCTACTGTATAGCATAGGGAACTATATTCAATACCTTGTAATAACCTATAATGGAAAAGAATGTGAAAAGGAATACATATATGTATACATGTATAACTAAATCACTGCTGTGCACCAAAAATTAACACAACATTGTAAATCAACTATATTTCAATAAAAAAATTTTTAATTAAAAATTTAAAAAATAAATAAAATAAATAAAAGTAAAGCAGAGAGAGATGAGACAGAGGTGAGCCTGTATGTGCTAAGTCATGAGCCTTTTTTGCCTTCTCAATTCTACTTGAAAATTCTTTTGGAAAGATTTTTCTGAATTTTGTTTCTGGAACAATGATCTCACTGGTGGCAACAACACTGCAAGTAGTTCATCATTCTCCTGCACTTTATATGTTGACATTAACTGGAAATCCTGTCTAACATCAGATTTTGAGACTAAATGTTACCAGCATGTGTGTATGTCTGTGTCTGTGAGCATGAGTAAGGCCACCCCCGTCAGCCTCCAAGAATGAGTAAGAGGAATCACGCAGCCCAGTGAACGTTGGTGGGGGTCTGCTGCTGGCCGGGGTAAGGACTGCCTCAGTCTATCAGTGGTAGTAAGCGCCCTGTACTGCAAATTCTAACTTAGAATGCATTTTCTTCCAGAAACAAGGATATAGAAGGTGGCTTAGTTATCAGACTAACCCAAAAAGCCCACTTAGAGTCATCAAAATGGTATTTTAGTGCCAGAGTCAGCCTCTCTAGTGATGTTTGAGAACGTTGCGTTGGTGTGATGCACACGCGTGTTTGTGTGTATAACGTGTCATTGCTGAGTGGTAATGGTAAGTGGCACTGAGTCATGCAAAGATAATAATGGCATATTTTAGGGACACTTTGAGTTAACCAGGCAAATATTTGTTGGATAACTTGGCTACTTAACCTCTAATGTGGCAGAGAAACAAGTCTGACCTTGAGCAGGTGGTATGTGCTTGGCACGTCTATGTGTGTTATCCCAATTTAATCCTCACTTAATTGTAAAAAAAAGCTCTGTGAAGGAGGCAGAGGGAAATTATATCCTATGTAGGCTTAGATTCTAAAGTCAATGATTAAAACGAAAATTATATAGAGTCAAAATTCAATTAGTAAGTCCCCTCAATCACATAAAGATTTACAGGGTTTGATTACAACCTTAAACAGTAACAAGTAAAGCTGTATGACACATGCAGTAAGATGTCAAGTATTATAAAGAG